CTTCTGTGAAAGTATAAGGGAGTGTGAGAACTCGGGACCAGTTCTGTTGAATATGCTATTTCCAAATGGGGTATACTTATGTGTCTGCGGCTGCTAGAAGACCTCTGCTAAGTCAATGAAACATGTGTGTTTTTATTTCTTCTAAGTCTGGATCAACTTGCCTAAATGGCTGTTAGCCATATGATAAGACCGTCTTTGACACTGGGAACTCCTTAATCAAGAATACCTTAACCAGTGGTAAACATGAGAGTTACCTTTGGAATTAAAGAGGAAAAACAAAAGAGATGCTCAAGGCCCATTCTAGACTGACTGAATCAGAATCTGTCAGCAGTGAGGCCTGGTCATAGATACTTGTGAAAAACTATTGTTAGAGAATATTAGGCACCCAGGAGACCTCAGCTTACCTCCTTCCAGGACACTTAGCTTGTTTGCTCATCAGGTGGCATAAGACCTTTTATTATTTGCCAGCTACTGGGATGGAAATATATGTATATGTTTTTTGAAAAGAGAAAGCAAAGGTGTTCTTTGTCAGTGAGAGTGAAGAATAGGGAATGAGAGGGAAAAGCAGTGAATCTACAAGGAAGTTGAATGACTTTATAGTGTGTTTGAGTGAATATCTTGTGCCCATGGTTGAAAGAGGGTACCAAAAAAGACCACTCTTCTTATAAAAAAGAAGTGGGGTAGGGATATTTCTCTTTTTCTTATAAATTAGCAAAAGCTTTTTAAATTAAAAAAGGAGGCCATTTATACATTGTTATGTACATCTTAATAGGGTACTTTTTCTCATTGAATTTATTGGTACATTTTAAGTATACAGTACAGTTACATTCATCATTGGGATCTTGTACCTTTACATGACAGGTGTTGGTTCTCATTTTTTCACCTTGCCCCTGCTCTCCCTTCACCCACTCCTCCCTTCTCTATTTACAAATGCTTTATTTCCATTTTTTCATTTTCTCATATTTTTTCTTTCCCCTTATTTCCTTTCTTCTACCCCTCTCACTTCCCCTACAGCTTTAGCCCTTTTCTTCCTTTCACAGGGTGTTTTTAATTTTGTGTAAATTGGTCTGTTGTCATGTAATCATACTGTGAAGGATAAGCTTAATTGTCAACTTCATTGGTTTGGGAGCCACCAAGGGGATTAATAAAGCACACATCTGGGTATGTCTGAGTAGGTCATGGAGGAGTGACTTTGGGGTCTATGTATGTTTCCTGGACGCTTCCTCTCTGCATTATTTCTCTGCTCTGCTTCCTTAGTTATCATGAGCTAAGCATGTCCTTCTGCCATGACATTGCTGCCTTAGGACCAGCCCCTTTTCATTCATAAACAGCCTAATTTTATCCAAGCAGGCTACAAATCTCTCCAGGACTCATCTTCTGCTGAACCATCAGACATTATTGTACATAAGTAAAGTATTATACTGTACGTGAACCTCATCAAGAAGTGCTTGAAATTGTTGAAAATTAAGAGCACAGGCCATACTGTAATTCATCATTTTTGTGACATCTTTTAGGATATAATCTAATTTTTTTGCTACTTTCTCTGGCACAAAGAGCTTCTGGACATACAATACAATGAAATGGAATAACTGGATGGTTTGCTTCTTTAACAAACAACTGTAGGGAGCCAGATGTTGCCCCCACCATGCAAGGTGCCCTGTCATTAGTAATTGAAATCATTTTTCTTGTCTTAATGTCTTGTGGCAAAAAGGCTTCCATCACAGCATTGTTGATATCTATTCCTTGTATTCTTCCAGGCAAAGACACCAGTTTTACCAGCTCTTCTCTCATGATGTCTCCAACAGCATAAAGCAAAATTTCTGTCAGCCTTGCATGATATTTATAGTTGTGCCAAGGACATGGAGCAATGGGCTGCCTTTTGTAAGTCAGTGGTGAATTGCTGAGTAACATCACTTGTCACGCACAGGGCTTGATCTTTAACAGTGTGTCTACACTGGGTGTGGTGGCGCATGCCTGTAATCTCAGCACTTGGGAGGCTGAGGCAGGAGGATTGCTGTGAGTTTGAGACCAGCCTGGGCTACATAGTGAGTTCCAGGTCAGTCTCATCTACATAGTAAGACCCTGTCTCAAAAAAACCAAAAAGCAAAACAAAAACAAACAAGCAAACAAAAAAACCAAACCAAAACAACAACAAAAAAAACAAACCAACCAACCAAACAAAAAACACTATGTCTACTAAGTAACATCTAAGAGATACATTGCATAATTTTTTCCTTGTTTGAGAAATCATGACAAAGGGAAATTACTCTCAGACAATATGGCCATTTTAATAAAATCTCCATTAGAAAGAAGCTTATGTTTTGCTATACACAATGAAATTTGAAAGCTAGCAGCTACCAGATAATTGTGTTAGAAAGATAGAAAAAGTAAGCTACTGGGAATGATAGTTCTTCAATTTCTCTTCAAGAACCACTTTCCTTTTAGTTTCACCAACTCTTTTTTTTTCCTCTCATTGAGTTTATTGGTACATTTTAGGTATACAGTACAGTTACATTCATCATTGGGATCTTGTACCTTTACATGACAGGTCTTGATTCTTATTTTTTCCCCTTGTCCCTGCCCTCCCTTCACCCCCTGCTCCCCTCCCCCTTTACAAACTTCATTTCCATTTTTTCATTTTCTCAAATTTTTTTCTTTGCCCTTATTACCTTTCCCCTATCCCTCCCAGTTTCCCTACACCTTTAGCCCCTTTCTTCCTATTTCACATTGTCACCAACACTTTTGTGGTTGGTGTCAAAGTGGTATCTAACACTTTATGTGTGATACACAACACTTCAACTACACAGAATACATAATGCTTTCTCATTGTGTTCAGTCACTCCAAGTGGCTCTATCCAGAACTCTTGGAATAATCTTTACTATCTATTTTCAGTTTTGCTTTTTTTGCTGTAGTCATTTTTTGGTGCTCAAGATTCGGAGTCTACAAAAGCACATTAAAAAAAATGAAGCACCTGATACAAATCTATCTCTATACCAAAGAATAGCTTGCATTATTAGTTAATACTACAGAATTGGATGTTCCTTGAATCAACAATCTGTAGCATATTCACAGCTGAGGTTCTGCTTGAATGTACTGAATACCAGCACAAGGGGGCAATGTTCCACCGACCACCAGTTTTTGACCTGCTCTGAAAAAGGCATCTGAGTGCATTTCCTACCTTGTGTGGGCTTCTACTAAAATTATAGCCAGTCTAAAGAAATATATATATCCTTGCTCTTGTTTTCATAAATTCCCCACAAACAACTAAATATGATGCTGAGAATCAAATATTCCAGAGGGACTGTGCAACATTAAAATAATCTCTGTCTATTAATTAGAACATCTCTTTGATAAATGTTAGATATTAAATTTCAATTTTTCATAAGAAAACTCAAAACTAAAATCTTATGTTAATAAAATGAATGTATTAAAATTCACTGCCAATCCAAATATCTATCTGTCTGTCTGTTTCTCTGTCTGTCTATCATCTATCTGGCTTTGGCAGTGCATTGGTCAGCCATGCAAAAGCTTGGCCAGGTCACATTAAGGAGTTGCAGCTTGTGATGTCATTGCCTGGCACCATTATTCCTTTTGAGTATGCACATGGCCCCCATGTATGCTGCTATCCGATATTTAGCTGTTGGGGTTATGCTGAGGAGACTTGGCTTGTATGCTGACAGAGAGGGCTCTATATGCTTGCTGTGGCTTGTATGCCATAGGTTCACCACCACTTGCCTATGATGTCTGAACATATATAGCATCCAAAATAAAGAGGTATGTTCTTAGAGATTCTGGTTCCTTCTTTTTTTCCCACTCTGTGCCTTCCTCAGTGTGTGGTTGTACCTTCTCAGTGTTTACAAATTGCTTACCATTATTCCAAACTCCACAGCCCCATGGAAGATGTTTCAGGCAGGAAGGGGAAAGAAAAAAGGAACTTCTTTTACACAGTTCTTGCTTTTACAGGGTAGAAAGTCTTTTCTAGAAGTTATACTTAGGACTTTGATATCTTATTAGAAAGGATTAAGTCAACACACCTTGGTCATGTGAAAATAGAATGAAATGAACTTAAACCCCTTGAATTTATTCTTTGGGACAGGGAACATTGACTTTTGAATGGAATGAGGACTTTGTATATAAGAAAGAAAGGAAGCTAGCATAATGGTTTTCTTCTCTTCTCTCTTTGAAGTCACTTTAGGGATTTTTCCTATTGCATACCTACTACTCCCTTCAAAATCTATATCTGCTTCTAAGTTTTCCTGTGGTCCAAATACATTATCATCTTCCCATTATATATCTACATTTGAATGTCCTGCAGTAGCTCCTATGTCTAAAATTATGCACTTCTACCTCGCCTTGGAATGGAGAAGAACTTTTATTTCTACCAAAATATACTTATTAAAATATGACTGATCATCTAGTCTTCAGTACTAGGAAACAGGATTATCTTGAATTACTCCTCCACATTCTAACTTCTTTTGATTTTAACTTTTTTCCAACTCATTATAGCTTGTATCTATGCCCTCTAAATGGATCTGTAAGTTGTTTTAGGGTGACAATGTACACAGCTGTATAAATACATGAACACATGTTCAGTGTATGGACATATGAATGCATGTTTAGTGAGCTTTAGCTGAACCTGGAAATATCATTCTTAATTATGTTTATGTACACTGGCAGCTTATAAAGATGGGAGAAGATGGGAGAAGAATTATGAAGTCTTGGCTTGGTTTTGTAAAGTAATACTAAGTGTAGTTATTTATATATACTTTTACTATTTGTTCCTAATTACCATGCACTAAAATTGTGATGACAACAAATAAGAAAACCAGCTTCCTCCTATGCACAAAATAAAACAAAACACAACCAAAAATGTTCCTCCGAAGCCAAAATTCAAAAGATAACAAATAACTGTGTGTACAATCAAATTTATTTTTTTATTCATTTATGATTGAGATGATTACATTTCAGCAAAGAAAGTTTAGATAACAGTGGTCTCATGATTGCCAAAGTTAAACTCCTCCCATTTTAGTTAGTTGGATTTAATTATATAAGAAGTTGAACAACATAAGAATACCAAGGCAAGAATGAAATATTGGTTCAATTATCATCTCAAACAAACAAAATAATTAATATAAATTTATTGTCATGGTTATAGGGCTCTTAAGTACTAGAATGCAGAATTTCATGACTATGGAGAAAGCACTATTTAGACATAAGTGCTATGTTGTACTCCATCTAATTCAATTAGACTAGAAACTTTACTGTTGTTGAGCATGTCTGGTCACACATAGAGGATGCAAAGAGCTTCCATAAATATAATAATATAATTATCTTAAATATGTTAATAAATACAATATAAATAACTTAAAAATAACATGTGTCTGTCTTCTTGAGGGTCAGCTTCAAGAGTTATTTGACTAAAATGACCTTACCTTTTGATATAAAAAAACACTGAGAATGATATAGGTATCATTTTCTCCATTTTGAAAATGATAAAAAGTCTGTCAGTAATTTAGAAGCAAAGGCACAAAGTTGGAGTAAAATCCTAGGCCTATGGCTTCTCATTCCAACTGCTATTTGTATATATTTTAGTTTTCTTATGCCTTGGCCAACCTGTCTGTAATAAGAGTAGAGTCTTTTTGACACTGCAGTCAGTAGCCCTGGTCCTCCTATGAATGTTATGAAGAATGATAATTAAAATGATTGGTACTGTGCAAAGTATAGGGTGTTCTTTAAATAACAAATAGCATTATATGTTAATGTTGGTTCTATTAGATATTCCCTTCTCTTACAAAGAGGGTAAACATTCATTTAGAATTACAAAGGCTCAGCACATGCTCAGCAAATGAGTAAGAGTAACGAGTTTGACTTCTTCATGTACATGGTACATACAGACTAATATGGTACATCCAGAGCCATGGCTGGTTTTAGGATATTTGAAAGTCTGTCATGGAGGATGATCCCCTGGCCATGTGCACTAGACTGTCTTCCTTTGTGGCAATGAGCAGCTCTGAATTGGCAGCCGACCTGAAGAAGTTATGACCTCTTTCATTTTCCCAGAGGAAGAGCAGGTTGAGCTCGTTACCTGTGATGATTTTTGGTGTCTCAGGCATCTCCTATGATAATAAAGAGAACAGAGTTATACTAGAGAATAAGAAAATGCTAGACAAAAAACTGAAGCCCAATCCTCTGGTATTTGGCTTTTGTTAGAAACAGCATGCTAGGACTATGACTCTAAAATGATGATACACGTGCTTCATTCATATATTCATTTATCAAGCCTTTATTACATGCTAATTAGATGTATGGCCTAGTTTGTTCATTAGTTGGAGAGAAATCTAAATTAGTCATGAAGATTGCCAGTGGAACTAGTGTCTCATATCTGGGCTGGTGGGGGTGAAGTACTGTTTGTGTCCTGCCTTCAACATAGGCATAAGGCATTTTGCTCCAAATCTGAGTACCAACCATTCTAAGACCTCTAAGCACTTTAACTTCTAACTGTGCAAGTCATATCTTTGGGAAAGCAACTTAGCTTTTAGATCACGTTCATCTCTGCATTTAAGTAAAAAAATTAAAGGATACACACACACACGCACACACAAACACACTCACACACCCCTCTGTCCTATCCCAGATAGATCAGCAGCTGAACACTGGATACAATCTCTAAATTATATTCTTCCTGAGTATCTATAGAGTCTAACAATTCTTTCATGGAAAAATGAATTTCACATTCCATGTTGAATTGCTTCTTTCCTACTCTTTTTAATTTAAAACTAGTAAATATACTTCTGAGGTTTCCTTGGGATTTTCAATGTCAGGAAAGATCTTATTTCCCAAGCTTATTCCTCTGTTAGTTTTTTCCAGCTCAGCAAATAGAGTCTCTCCTCTTCTTCCTGTTGTTTTATCTCTAAAATATAACCCAATTCCATTTCTTTCCACCTTAACCTAGTCCACAACTACAGTTATAACCTCTTAATTGGGCTCTCTGCTTTCTGTAGCTTGGTGTATTCCTCACGTAAGAAATATAAGTGATGTCAGGACATTGCACTATCTAAAACCTTTTAATGGCTTTTCATTGCACTTCAAATGAAATCCAAATGCAAATCCTATAAGCATTTCCTCTGCATATCTTTCTTCCTCACAATTCCCCACAATCTTGGAGCTGGACTTTAAGCACATGGAGCTAGGGGTTAGGTGCCATAGGCCCTTCTGTTTCGAATGCCCCACCCTACTAATCCTCTTGTATGGTATGCTCTTTTTTGCCAGCAATTCTCAACTCTGCCTTTGCCACTCCATCTAAATAGCGTGCTGCAATTTTATTCTCTTAGAGACCTATTTAGTTTCTTTACAGTGACTTGCACTTTTTGCTGGTTGTTTGACTTGGTCCCAGAAGGCTAAAGAGATAGGGACTTTGATATACCTTTGTCCTTATAGCTGTAGGCACTGTGCTGAAAAGTAGAAGGCACTCACTAAATGATACTTGTTGAATGAATTCATAAAGCTACTGTCCTATTCTATGGACATCACTTTTATTTGACTTGAATCATAAATTTTAATTAGGGAAGGAAGCATTGGGTTATACATTTATTGAATGAAAATTAACTTCTTTTTTTTAATTGAGTTTATTGGTACATTTTAGGTATACTTCTTATCAGTAGAGAAAACACCTAAGGCTATAGTGTGTGTGTGTGTGTGTGTGTGTGTGTGTGTGTGTGTATGTGTATGTGTATTTGAGGGGGATAGCAGGAGAGAAGATGGGTGGGCTGTGATGAGGGATAACAGTAGCACTCATAACAAGGGAGAGGCAAAGGAGAGCGAAGAGAAGGTCAGAGTTTGAATCTTGGTTTTTTTATTTGTGGCCATTGGCAGGTGTTCATTCCTCTCTGATCTCAGAAGGCTCACTAAGTTTCTTGGAGGCAGATCTCATTGTCCTAACGCCAGGTGTCATGTAGTCAGTTAATATTGTCAGTAAAGATTTGTGGAAAGCATGGATACCCTGGGATGAGAAGTGAATAGGGTCAGAAAAAGAAAGAAGGAAGGAAGTAATTTATCTCTTATTTTCTCTGTCACCTCCATTTCCCTTCACATAGATTCTGCCCAGATTTTCCCTCTGAGGATAGGTAAGAAGTCAGATGAGGGTAGGGTATATAGGGGTGAAGGGTTGTGGAAGAAAGGGAAGAGGACAGCACCACCCTTCCAGGAGCATAAATGGGAAGTAAATGAGGGTAAGCTAGAGACTGGGGCAACTGACCTTTAGCAACACCGGCTGGTCTTCTTCCTGGGCACTCACAAACAGTCGGGTTTTTGAGATTCTTAAAGTCACAGGATTTGTATTGTCATCTGTTGCTGATATGTAGCCACCCATGTCAAATTTCACTGGCAAAGAGAAGAGCCAAAAAGAAAGTTAATTCATTGTATTTTTATAAAATCAAATGTTTAAGCAGATTGTATGAGTCATTAGGTTCACAACTTTAGTGTAAATAAATACTTGGAAGTCAGGAATAGAATTCTGTGCATCTCTGTATCCTTTACAATATCCACATATTTACCAGGAAGGTAAATAGTTAATGTTTTTAGTATTTTATACATTGGTGGAATACTTAGGGTATGAATAAATATTTGTTGAGTCTTGTAGTTACATTTGTGGGATAAGACCCTATTTGCTATTTCATGAGTTCATAATGACCTAAAAAGTTGAAGAGTTAAGAAAGCTGATACATGCATATAAAAAAGTAGTTCAATTTCATTGTGGCACATGCCTGCAATACCAGCACTGTGGGAGGCTAAGGCAGGAGAATCACAAGTTCGAGCCCATCCTGGGCAATTCAGAAAGGCCTATGTCAAAATAAAAAATAAAAATATAAAAAGGGCTAGGGATGTAGCTCAGTGTGAAAACCCTGATTTCAATCCCCAGTACTGCTTAAAAAAACAAAGAAAAGAAAAAAGAAAACTCACAGAAAGTTCAGCATAGCAATAAGATTGAAAACTCTAGTGCTTTTGAAAATAGCAAGTACATATACTATGTCATTATGTGATAAATTTTTTAGACACGATAAATTTCATTCTTTTGAACAGCTTATTGGTTACTTTGCCTCACAGTTCTGTTATCAAAGATAACAGAAATCTTCCCAGTTTGGTGTTACTTCTAAGTTTGATCTTTAGGATTTTTAATGGACAGTGATTGCTCCTTATTGGCTTCTGGGTAAATGTGAGTAAGTCAATATTTCTGAGACTCAGGTTCTTCATCTTTAAAATGGGAAGGCAAGAATATCTTTAAGAGCCAGGGAGAGAGGACGTCAGAAAGCTTTGTGCTCTTCTTAGAGTTCTCAGGGAAACTCTTGTCTTGTGGAATTTGTAGCTTTGGCTGAAACTTCTGTCTTTGGGATTTTCCAGAAGTTGGGATGGGGGAATATGCTTCATCTTAGTCTAGTATTGCACAAAGTCAAGGTTCTAGAGAGGTTCAATCTTTGAAATCAGAATGCTTGACAGAAATAAAAGAAGAGGGTAACAAGTTGGCTATTTACCTTCATGGCTCAGGTCAGTTAAGGCAACAGCCTTGAGGTATTGACCTGTTGCATCTAGAGTTACACTTTGATGAATGGAATCATTTAGGACGAATTCCTTCCTGAGAATCCTCATGTATTTGTATTTCACATTGCTTTGGAAGATGTGAGGTGCTGACCGCGGCTTGATGATTTCTAAAACCATTATCACAAGTTCAGATTAACATCCAGGTACAAACACAGATGATATTTACATGCTATTCTAAGCATATGAAATAGCTAGAAAGGAACATTGGGAACAGTTCAGTCTAAGTGATGGGATAGAAATGAAATCAGTTAATATTAGATTTGATTCTAATATTTGTCTTGCATTTACTTATTTGCTTCTTTTAAAGTGAATTCCTCAGGCAATGGTGTTTTTTTTTCTAAGAGAGATTATTGGTGTAACTTTCTCATTTTGAGTTTGAAGATTACTAAACGACCAGGAAGTATTCTCCATCTATATTTTTAAACCAATAGACTATGACATACAAATAAATACACAAAAAATTTATCATTTTAAAAAAATTGTAATTTTTTCACTGAAGGTGTCTATGTACCATCCTTTCAGGAAAGTAGTTTGTCTCAAAAGCCTGTGGCTCTGAGTAATTTCACTTTTAGGCCTCTATTCTAAGGAAATAAAGATTTATTGATAGAGATGCTCATTATCATTTATTTTACATATGGTGGTGAAAAATTGATTCTCTAAGATGCCCTTGGTGAAAAAGGCTGGATATAAAATTGCATATTTCTGATATTGTAAAATATGCTTGTTCCTCTGTGTGTCTGTAGAAAGGTAAGACTTTAAGGAAACATACAATAATATTTGTGGGAGTAAACTCTATAGTAGCAAATATGAGTGATTTTTATGTTCTTTAAAAATATTTTCTTATATTTTTAAACTTCTTGGGTGAACATGTATTATTGCTTAGTGTATATTAAAACAGAAATATTGGTTTTATGTGTAATGTAGAAACTTGTATGGTAAAGGCATGAAAGGAAAACCATGATTTTAATAGTCAGATCTGAATAGATGAGGGTCTCCCATTTCCTCATATGTAAAATGAGAATGTAAGGTTGTTGTGAGGCTTAGAGATAGCACATCCATGAATAAATTAGTGGTATTGGCTGCATCAATAATAGTAGTAGCAATAATAACAACAGCCAACGTTTCTTGAGTGGTTACTAGGCACCAGACATTATTTTAGTGCAGAAGTTTGGAAGTATTGACTCATGTAATATTCACAACATTTCAATGAGTCAGGACTCTGATCATCTCCAGTTTAGAGGAGAAGAAACTGAAGCACAGGAAGATGAAATGACATGCCAAATGAAGTATAGCTAGTAAGTAGAGGTCACCAACTAACAGTCTGTACATACTATGGATGGAAAGGCTAGAAGTCTTATGACCTTTACAATGTGGCCAAGAGATTGGCTTACAAATAAATATACAAGACTCAGGCTATTTATAACCCCTCTACACGCACTGGAGAAGGATAAAAATTAATTTGCCTTTGTAATAGTTATCAGATAATGTCCAGTTTTCATCTATTTTTTCTGACTCTACATTTTATTTTCCCTATGCTCTAATGTCTTCATTTACTTAAAACTATAAAACAAGGACACTATTGTTCTTGACCACTTACCTTCTTCTGGACCATTGATGATGGCTTCCAGGTCTTCATTAGTGATGGTTTGGTTTAAACTCAGCCGTCTCTTCTTCAGAACCTTCCTGTGGGCTGATGTTGATACCACCACCAAGTTCTCCTTGAAGGAAAGCTCAGATACTTCAGAGGTTTGAAGGGTACTCAGAGACACAGATTTATTCATGCAGTTTTCATCAAGTGGTCCATAGCTTGTATCATAGAAGGATTTCTGTAGGGGGAAAAATGACAACTGAGGGGCTGTCTGTGGCTACAGGATGCAATCCTTTCACTAGGAGCTATATCCAACAGATGTAGCAAGAAAGCTCTTCATTCTGGTTGTGAGTAACCTATGCTTCATTAGCTTTTTCACTCCCTTTACCCTCCTTCTTTTCTTCCCTGCCCCTCTTCTTCCTATTTCCCTAAAAGCAGGTGATTTATTAGGAAAACATTTTCATCCATTTGCAGGCTCAAAAATGATACGTTGTAATGAAACAAGTTGAAAAATCATCTCAGTGAGTGATTGCCCTCCATTGGGTTCCCTCTCAGGAGGTTAACAGTTGATTTCACAGAATTCTAAATATTTCAGAAATATATTCAGCCCTTTGTATCCATGAGTTCTGCATCTTGAGATTCAACCAACCTCAGATCAAAAATATATGGAGAAAGCAAATTGCATCTGTATTGTGCATAAGCAGTTTTTTTCCTTGTCATTATTTTTTAAACAACAAAGTACAACAGTTACTCACATAGCATTTATACCAAGTTGGTATTATAAATAATTTAGAGATGATTAAGTACACAGGAGGATGTGCATAGCATATTTGCAAATTCTATGCCACTCATATATAACAGCATTTTACATTTGCAGATATTGTATCCTGGAACCCATTACTATGATGCCTAGGAATGGCTGTACTTCTCTGGGAGCAGCTTTTTATTTTTATTTATTTTTACTTTTTGGTACCAGGGATTGAACTTGTGTCCTTGCACTTGCAAGGCAGGCCACCAAACCGCTGAGCTAGATCCCCGGCTGGGAGCAGCTTTTTAAAGCCAGGACCACAGACACAGAAAATAACACAGCTGGGTGAGTATTGACAGATTTCTCATCTCCAATTGTCCTGCTTCCTTTACCTCAGCTCCATGGGCCATTATGTTGGGAGGTCTATCTCCAACCTCTGATGTTGGAATCAGAGGACAAACATAACATCTCACATTAGGAGACAGAGTGCTGGTGAAGTGACCTGAAGATGCTGCACCAGGATGGCACAGCTAACATCCAAAAAAGCCCAGCCAAAGAGACTGTTGTTCTCAGGGCTTTGGGATAATAATGCTCTGATGTGTAAAAGCTAAAGAACACAAAGAGTACTGTAAACTATTAGTATAGGTAGGCTAGTGGTCTCACTTGTGATGAAGAAATCCAGGTCTCTGGACCTCTAGTGAGTATCTAAGACTCAACACCTTGCTTTGATCTTTTGATGGAGGAAATACAGTGTGAGAAAAACAGCCCTGTTAGAGGAGCAGTCATTTGCCTACCTGATTCAGAGAGAAACGGTCAATGGCAGAAGCATATTCTTCATTTTCACTGTCAAAAAAGTGATGAAGTGTAATTCAGTTGTTTTACTATGGTTACTGAGCATTGAATTAGCTTTGGCTAAAACATACACACAAATCATTACTTTTATCATTGACAATAAAGGACAGCTTTTTTTTTTTTTTTTAGTACTGGGGATCAAACTAGGGTCCTTGCGCTTGCAAGGCAGGCAGTGGAACCGCTGAGCTGAATCCCCAGCCCAAAGGACAGCTTTATAGTCACATATATACAGTAATTCATACTTCACTAATTTGGAATTAGTAGTCATTAGGACAAGGCTTGTATTTTATGTATAAAATCTAGATTTGGCTTACAACTTGAAGAGTTTTAACTGAATTTCAGGGGAAAAAGTTCTTCAAGATCAGAAATACTTTTGAAACATTATATAGATCCTCTGCAACACATATATTACTTTCTTGTGTTCACTAGAATAGATTTAATAATAATAATAATTATTTTTTGGGGTATCAAGGATCGAACTCAGGACCTTGCGTGTGCAAGGCAGGTGGTGGAACCATTGAGCTAAATCCCTGTCCCTATATTTAATAATTAATACTTGGAAAAATACCCAGACAATGTCTTGATAGCTTAGTTTGTGTTCATAATTATTGTAGGAATAGGAACATCAATGTTAGTTCGAAATGTCCTAAAACTTTGACTTTTGATTTATGTCTCTTTTGTATCTCAATTAAATTTGAATGTATGTGTACACAGATGTGCTCAAATTGCTGGGGAGTTATTTCCTCTCCCAACAGAGATTCAGCTCCCCTGGGATTAGATTCTCTTACCTGCAATCCATTAAAACCCATTACTGTATCAGGACATGTGGACTCAATTGAGGCTGTATCTAAGTCAATGTTGAAATGCACGTAGGACCCAGCGGACCTCAAAAATAACTTTTCTACAGCATTCACCTCAATTTAACATACTGCATTCTTAGTTCTCCTTGGTCTTTTATGAAGCTGCCAGTATGCTCTTACATAGCCTTTGCCGGCCCAATCCCATGCTGGCCATTGTAACTCCTAGCTAGATTCTAATAAGCCCTGAACCTCACATTACATCACAAGAGATAGAATATATTTCCTACCTGTAACAGCTCTTCAGGTCTTCAAACAGGTTTGGAACTTCAGCCATCTTGACTTCTGCAACAGGAAGGCACCAGTGGCTGTGAGCTCAGCCATCATCTGAGCTAGTTGTCAGCAAGGGCAACTGCCTCTGCCTCATGCTTCTTGAGAAACAGCATTGACTGACCTAGCCCACACCCAGCATTTTCCCCATTCTTCTTTTGCTCACTCTCTTGCATTATTGTATATGCATCTGCCTCCTCTACTAGACTGTAGGCTTCTTTTAGACTGTTTTATTATCCTTATGTGTCCAATTCAATGCATTGTACATAGTAGGCATGCAATCAATGCTTGGATAGCTTAAAAGAAAAATAAAGCCACAAGAAAAGATAGTCACTTTATACAGATGTAAGAGAGAAACAGAATTAGAAAGGTTCAGTTTTCTCTTGGTGGTAGAGTTTTCCTCCTGGAGGAGGACTTGGCTGTACCCACAGATGTACCCACTTAGTGGCTGTACCAACTTAAATGAGTCCAATTCTCTGGCTGTCCTTCAATTCCCCATCACTAAAACAGGGTAGTCATTTTCTGAAATCTGACTGCTGTGTAATTCTAGCTCATACACCAAATCAAGAAAGGACAGGAAAAGAAAAAAAGGAAGCAGCCATATCTTTACAGAAGGTATTTTTAAGACAGCAAAGGAGGAAAACAACACACCACTTTAAAAGCCAGAGATGTGGTAAGGACAATACCTTTGCGACTCAAGTGCCAATGAAATGACTTCCTCACTGCCTTGGAACTTCTGCCTGAGTCAGACTTCTTTGCCTTTTATAATTGTCTTTGTAGGTGTGGCCATAAGTATGTCACTGGGAATTTACAGGAAATCTGTTTTTTAATGTATATATTTATTCAACTTGATACTGGCCAGAATAATGAGAGCTTTTATACTTGATAATATTGCTGTTTGCAAAGATTCCAGGAGTTATCGACTTAGCTCATTTATCTGTTACTTGTTCCATATAATCATAAACATGTAGCATTAGAAAAAAGGAAGCATAGCAGGAAGCTTATCAAATTTCTAAAAATAAATGATGTAGGAGGAAGGAAGAAATCCTCAAAACAGGATTATAGATTGCCAGAGTTGGAAAGAAGCTGGGTAGCTGTATTTCAAGTTTTGGCTTAATTTGTTTATTGTATCCCAGGGCTGAGTGTAAATTGGCAGAATACTTGGTAGCTACTGGCAGCTATGGGGTGGCATTTGAGGAAAATGAACCATTTGTTTTCTGAAAGGGGAAACTTGCTTGAATATGGCACAGATTTGTCTGAGATGGAGTGACAACATGGTTAGATTAGGACAGAGGAGAGAAAACTAGTATTTGACTACCAAAGTCTCCATCCTCTTATTCCATTGTAGTGTCCACACATTTCCTATACATGTGACAGAGCTTCAGGAGAGAACTCCCAGCCCTAGTCATCTTACAGTAAGATGGCCATGTACTAGAGCCTAAAGATAGCTCTGATGTTCCCTGGGGAAAGCCAAGGTGGGTGAGGATGGTTGTCCACTCAGAGAGGCATGGGCAAAGCACCTGCCAGTAGCTCAGTTAGGAAATGGAGGTTGTGGGAAGGGAAAACATGGGTCCTATATATGACACTACCTCATTGTTGCTTTTTCAGTATCCCAAGGGCAGCTAAGATCAGGGGACAGAATATCAGACTCTTAATAAATCTGCTCCATATTTTTTTCAGTATCCCAAGGGCAGCTAAGATCAGGGGACAGAATATCAGACTCTTAATAAATCTGCTCCATATTCCCCAGTTGGAGTTTCAGCTGCATAAATTTTAGATAGAATGGATGAAAGAGGAAAGGAAAAATAAGTAAAGAGAGAAAAGTTGGGCATTAAAATGTGGCATAAAAAAGCCAAAAACACAGAACTGGAGGCCCAGTGGTTTGCGTGAGTTGGACAGAGTATTTTATTTGGTTCTGTTTAGCTGTAAATAAAAGGGTTGTTTAGATGATTACTGAGGTGTAGTTTATTTGCAGAATCTCTGATTCTGATTATGCTGTCGAGTCTAGTTCCTTCTGGTATTATAAACAGAGATAAGTGGCTTCCTGGACTCAGGCTGTGTCAGTGCAGGACCAAATTGGGGCAGAAACTTAGTGTCTTAGGACAGATCCTGTGTGAACACAGATGTCAGCCAAGGAACTCTCCACATTTCTGATTATCCCAGGAAATGTTAACCCTGGTCACCCCCTCTGCCTCCTGGGCATCTTGTGAGAACAATTACTGAGACACAATTGCAAAGCACATTGTGAATGTGGGCTGCTATGGAGATGCAACTAAACAAAAATAATAACAACACTAATGATGGCTTCAGTCACTTGAGAATCTGTCTAGTCATTGCTGGAATGCCTCAGTTCCCTGAAGAAAATATAATTCTTGTGAAAATATTGGCTTTATAACTTCAACAGGGAGGAAAGTTTTAGGTGAAGGACACCATTGAAACCCTGAAGATACTTGGCTTCTGGGAACAGTACATAGGACCTCTTTGGTAATCCAGGAAAACACCCTTGGCTCTACCAGCTGTGGCAACACCCAGCCTGTCCCCATCTTTATTCCTTGTGCTGTAGCGAATTTCCCAGATGTGATTACTGAATTTCTCAAGGAGAATTTTGGTTGAGAAACAGCCAACTCTGTTAGTGTATTTTCCAAATTAGTACTTCACACAACCTCCTTGGAAAGTGGTATAAAAGGAAAAACAAAAACAAAAACAAAACATGTGGATGAGGCTTGGAGCGGGAAAAGTCCTTACTCTTTCTGGGACAGGAGTAGTGGAGTTACTTTTCTATGACTGTGAGTCAAGATCAGACAGACCACTTCTAGGGAAGTGAGAAGAGATGTACTGAATGGTGCTTTACTGGGTCCTGTGGGGTGTGTATGTGTGTGTGTGTGTGTGTGTTTGGGGGGTTGTGGTGTGATAGATACTTTGAGTGGCTTCATGCCATACTTCTCAACCTTCTGAGGAGGACTCAGAAAACTCTCCCTAAGGCTGGGGATTTAGCTCAGTGGTGCCCAGGCCTGCTTCATAAGCACAAGGTCCTGAGTTTGAACACTAGTACCAAAAAAACCAAAACCAAAACAAAAAAACCCACCACCACCACCCAGAAAATACCCTAAATAATTCAGAAAAATAGTATTGTGCACTTATTCTGTGTCACAGGTTTTATTACAGCATTTTTCTTTTATGGCCCACAATATTAAGTATGCCAGATAAAATGCTATGTATGTGTGGATGAGTGAATATGCTTATAAGTTGAGAGGCTGTGGATCAAAGAAAATTTAGTAGTTTTCATATGAACATTGCTTCAGAGTTCACAAAGAGCTCTCAGTTGGAATTCTGATTGAATCTTTGAGAGGAAGCCATCTTGGAAGAGGTAAGGGGATCAATCTAGGGTCACAAAATCTAGGGGCTGGGGATTTAGCTCAGTGGCACTGTGCCTGCCTTGCAAGCCAAGTGCAAGGTCATGAGCTTGATCCCTGGTACCCAAAAAAACAAACAACAACAAAAGAAACAAAAACAAAAACTGCCAGAGTCAGCACTTCATCTCAGGTTTCTGATTCCAAGTCTCATCTTCTTTTTCCACTGCATATTGATGCTTGAGTCTCTCATCATTACCGATGCCGAAAGACAGAATAGAAATGGATCATCCTTGAGGTTTTTTCTACCTCGAACACCCTATCATTCAGTGATTCTAGGGTCTGTATAAAAAAATGAAATAGATATAAAATAAATTGAAAGATCTGGCCTCCCTCTCTTCTTTCAATAAAATCTCCTTTTATTCTGTGGTACAGAGACATTAGGGTCAAGGTGATCTACATAATTGAGTACATGGTTAGTGGTGGAGTCTGGCTGTGAATGTAGGTGTGTTCTAACCAGTGTACCATGAAGATTGGAAACATTTTTGGAAGCAACTTTAAAATTGTTACATGCCTTTAGATGTAACAGAAATCACTTGATTGTAGAGAAAGGTACATTTCTCTGTGAATTTTCTGGGGAAAAATTGACTGGCTGTATCCATTGATTACATAACCCCAGATTTAAGCAACCGCAGATTGAAAACACTTAAAAAAATGTGTCTGTATTGAACAAATATAGACTATTTTTCTTGCCAGTACTCACTAAATAATACTGATACGTATTTACATGCCATTTGCATTATATTATGTATTATAAGTTATCTAAAATTATTTTAATTGTATAATTGTATAAGATCTATGGAAATTTTAAGCTGTTTATAAGGGACTTATATAAAATCCATGGTGTTTTTGTGTCTACTGTAGGGGTTGATGGGGTCTTGGAACTAATGCTTTGTGGATACTAGGGACAGAAGTACTTCTTTTCAGGTGCTGTAAACCTCTTCAGAGAAATAAAGCATTCATAAACCATCATCTAGAGGGACAATTGAAACTTTTGTCTCAACTCACGTCCTATTTAATTATAATCTGCATCTTAATTCCATGACAGCCAGGGAGGAGGAAAGAACTTAATGTGGTTGCTTACCATGCTCTAAGAATTATAATCCATTTTCTTGTTTAATCCTATCATCAAACCCATGAGGCATTCTTATTACATGGTACAGAAGAGGAAGTCAAGGTCTAGAGAAATTAAGCAATCAGACCTAGGTTACAAGGCTACCAAATTGCAGAAGTAGGATTCAGATACCAGAGTTTAACTCAATCAACCACAAAGCCTTCTCCTTTCGTTGGTGTGGCCTCTTCCTCCCCCCCGCCGTGTGTTCTTTTAAATTAAGTTTTACTTCTTTTGCTTTGTCTTAGCGTACTGAAGTTTCTGGAATTATAATGGTAGAGAAAGATGCACTTCGGAGATCACCTAAAAGTTTAGGTCCTAAAGTCTTGATTTTATAAAGAGGAAATCATTTTAGAGTGGAAGTTTTGCCCCAAAGTCACAGGGAGAATTTATATGAGAGTGGAAAATAAAGTTAAAAGACACTATCAGTAGTGCCACCACCTGTCTCATAAGCATAATGTCCTGAGTTTGGTCCCTGGTACAAAGAAAAAAAAAAAAAGACATTGTTTCTTGACTTCTAGATCAAAATATCCTACTACTTGGTGATATCAGCCATCTTCTCTTCAGTGAAGAGGAGAAAGGTGAAGAAATAATGTCTTCCATGATTCTCTCTTGTAAAGAGCAAGAGAGTTACAAAGATTGGAAGAATATTGAGATATTCTGAACTTTTTGATGTTGACTTTGTAGTAAGTGAGCAAAATCAGCTGTGGTTCTTGCATTCTGAAAGCTGACTGAAAAGTCTCAGTAAGGATCCCCTAACAAGTAGACAATCACAACCCAGGATGAATAATGTAAGGACACAAAAATAGAGCTGCTAGTCTTAGGCTAGCAGAGGGTTGGTTATTCAGTGGAGAGGGAAGAGGGAATATTTCAGACTAAGCAAAGGATGGGGGTCAAGTTTATGGAAGTAGACCATGAGGCTAGAACTTAGAGAGGCAGGCAGTAGAAAGTGAGTTGGTGAAGTGAAGAGGGAGAAAAAAAACAGGATCCAAATGGGCAGGGCCTCGTGCAAGGCCTGTAAGTTTTTAACTCAAAGATGAATGGGAAAACATAGGTGCTATGCTTTTAAATGATCACCTTTGGGTTTGGAAACAATTTTGAAATTGGAAAGCAGTAGACGAAGGATAGGAATTATGTAGAGAAATGACAATGTTACCACATAGCATATATGAAAAACAGCCTTGCTGCTTTAACTCAAACTTGTGTGATCATGGCTGAAGGTGCTCTGG